CCGTTGGCTTTGTCTTCAACTCGGCCGAGACGTGGCGCCGTATTGTCGTTGGTCTGCGCACGTACCACTTGGTCCACAATCGAGTGTCTGTGCCGACAGCGTTTGTTGTGCCAAGCGCGCCCGAGTGGCCGGCGGACTTGCATGGCATGCGGCTCGGTCACTGGGTCGACGTCATGACGTCGGCGAGAAGTTACCGGCTGGTTCCGGCGGCCACCGTTGCCGCTGTCGATGCAATTCGAGCGGGTGAAGAAGGCGATGGTTCTCTCGTGTCAGCAGCAACAACCAGTGGGCAAATTGGTGCGTCGCCGGTGAGTAGCTTGGACATCGGCCCTGTAGCGGATACTACCCTCCGTCGTGATGCGGTGCCAACCTCGGCAACGCTTGCCGCGGTCGATTTGTCAACGGCCCAAGAAGCACAAGCAACAGCCACCCAGGAGCCCGAGGTCGCACCGGCATCGGCTGACGACATCGAGTCCCTTTGCGCTGCACCCGACAATGTAAGCGGCGAAAACGATGACGACGACACGATGGATGACGACGTCGGAGGCATCGACGTCCAAGACGACGAAAACGATTTTGCACTCGAGCCGTGGACACCGATGGCAGCGGCCAGTGAACCCGCTGCCGAGTGGCCAGTGTCGATGTGCATCGGCACGGCCCCGCCACCCGTCGTCGACAACCATGTCGCATCACCGCGCCCATCCGCAGCGACGACCCCCGTCGGCTCGCCAGCGCATCCGGAGCCATCACCAGCGAGCGCCTACGAGCCCGACGTCGGTGCGCCACCCGCTATTCGCACTCGGTCTCCGCCGCTCGAAGCTCATGTCGACGACCAGTCGACGCCCCTGCTCCAAGCGCTGGAGACCTTCAAGATTATCTACCACCATCTGGAAGTGCCCCAGGACTTTGTCGTCGAAGCCATGGAGCCCTGGCCAGCGTCCGTGCACGGCCTCCAACTCGGCGGCGTTGTCATATCCCTTCGCCTACTGACTCCGACCGGTCTCGCACCGTGGATGGTGGCTCGTCTCGACGCTCTCGGCTTTGAGTGGACACCTCTATGCTTTGACTTGGTCAACGGTGCCATGCAGCATCTCGCCGACGAGCACCCGGCGTACCCGCCATTATCGTTTGTTGTGCCGGCGCAGCCGCCGTGGCCGCAAGATCTCTGGGACGTCGACTTGCTCCAGCTCAGCGCCAAACGTGATGCGTGGCTTGCAGAGATGGCGATCCAGTATAGCGATAGCGCGTCTCTGGCACTGCTTCGGGTGCCGTCGATCGAGCCGCTCGCAGTGACATTCAACAAAGTCTACCCGGTGCAACTCGTGCTGCAGTGCATTGAGGTGTACCAAGCACTGCACGGCCAAGCTCTCATTCCGCTGCTTTTTCACGTCCCGCTGCGCGACGCCAAGTGGCCTCAGGATGCGTCGTTGATGCCGCTGGGGTACTTTGTCTGGGCGGCGCAGGACCAGTGGGCAAATCTCGACCCGTTGGTGCGCAATGCGATCTCTGCGTTTGGTTTGTCGCCCGACGACGACATGGACGACGGCTGCGCCATCGACAACGACGATTTGATCGATGGCGACGTTGGTGGCGAAGACTACAACGACCAAGACATGGCTGGTCCCGTCAACATCGACCCGAGAGACGAACTTGATCGCCGAGTCTTTCGGGCATGAAAAGCCAGCGTCTCCATTGGCAACGCCAACAGTCCAGCAAGGACCACGCTTCTCACAAACGTACACTTGAAGATGCCACAAACAAGACTATTGCATTATCATAGACAGAGAGGAAGAGGAAGCTTAGCGCACTTTGTGCTTGATGCCGAGGAGCTTCATGAGGCCCGTCTCGCCGCAACCGCCGAGCGCGCAGCCCGTGTCGACGTTGTTGTCGCCTTGCGTGACCGGTCCCTTGGTCGTGTAGATTCCGCTGGCCTGCATGAGCGCGTCGCCGTGCGAGGCGTTGACACGCGTCCGGTGGTCAAACACGGGCGTCCCAATGAGCGAGAGGACGACCGTCGCATCGTCCGCCAGTTGGCTCAGCGCGTGGGCAAACCGAACGTCCTTGGCCGCAAAGAGGCCAAAGTCCTTGCTGTTGTACTGCGAGTACGCGGCGCCGTGCGTCGACGACCAGAGGCCGCGCGTGGCCGCAAACGCAGTCGTGAGCGACGGCCCCGCGACCGTGTCGTCGTGGTCCATGACAAAACCCACGGCTTTGGAGCTGCACCGAATGTACTCTGGCGGCATCGTCATGTGCGTGTGCCACGCCAAATCAATGTCGATGGTCGGCACGAGCATCTCGCCAGCCTTCTTGGTGCGGACAGCCTCGATGAACTGCCGGTACCGGACGAGGCTCGTTGCGAGCACGTCGTCGTTGAGCCAGTACTCGACGTTGGGACACACCTTTTGCACAAAGTCAAGCTGGCGGTACATGGCCTGCACGAGGTCGATCGAGAAGGCGCCGACCGCGTTGACCTGCACGAGCACGAGCGCGCGGTGGATGAGCTGCCGGAAAAAGTACACGCCGTCCTTGCACGCCGTGTCGGCCACGTCGGCGATGCGCGCTTGCACCTCGGAAATGAACGTCGCCCACGTGCCGTCGGTCGGGATCCCCGGCGCCGCGATGCGCAGCGTCACGTGCGCCCGCTTCTTGTTGGTGAGCAGCTCGAACGTCGGGTGTTCTTGGATGAAGACGGCGATCTGGAACGTCTCGTACGCGAGGTCGCTCTTGCACTTGGCACAAGAAATGACGTCGCCGAGGATGTGCAGTCGGAACTGCGCGTCAGCGGCAATCGGGTGTCGGCACGTCTTGTGCGGGCACGCGCTCAGCGTCTTGCGCAGCGGCACGTTGAAGGCCGTCGTGCCGTGCGCGGTCTTGTAGTACGTCTCGGGCCCAAAGAGCTCGTGGCAAGAAGCGCACCGAATGTCGCACTGCTGCAAATACATGCTGTCCTTGGTGCAGCGCGGCAGCTCGGCGTGGCAGTAGGGACACACGCCCGCGATCATCTTGAGCGACTTCTTGGTCGGCCGAGGCGCGTTGGTCCCGAGGGCGAACGCCAGCGGGTGCAGCTGGTACACCGTGTGGCAAAAGTTGTCCGGTGCCGGCGCCGTCCGAAGCGACACGTGCTCGGCCACATACGCGGCCTCGAGGTCCAAGAGCGTCTCGTAGAGCGCCGGCGCCGATGGAATCGCTTGAAGCAGGTCGTACATGCGCTTCATGCCGCGGACATGCGCCTGGACGTCGGCGACCGACGGCAAGTGCGTCACCGGCGGCAGCGCAGCCGCGTTCGTCGTCGTCGCTGCGAGGAGTTGGCGCCACACGGGACCGTCGGGTGCATTGCGTTCGCTCACAAACGGGCGCAGCGCTTCGAGCAAGTCCATTTGCGCGTTCACCGAGTGGCAGTCGAGCAGCAGTTGGCGACCGGTCGCAAAGCCGAGGTCGAGCAGCGTCGGTGCGATCGGTGTCGGCGCCACAATGTCGGCGCGCGTACAGTCGCCGAGGTCATATGCGTCGACGATCGGCGGGACCGGCTGGTCCTTTGACGGCGGCGCCGCGAGCACGATCAGCGTCCGGCCGGCGACCGTCGAGAGCGCGAGGGTGCGGGCGACGCGGGACCCGCGCACGGGGTCGATGGGGTGGACGTGGACGTCGAGCGAGAGGAGCGAGGTCATCGTCGGCAGAGCGAGGCGAATGCGAGAATGATGCACGTCGTCGCTCTTGCCATCCTCGCTCAAACGCAATTCCAAAATTTCAGCAACCGACTCAGATCCAATCTGAGTGCGAAATGAACCAGTTGCTGGCTGGTTTCGGCAAACAACTGACCAAGTAGCCGCAAATTGCGTGCTTCTGCGGGCGTCCGCGTGCAACTACATGCTCTGGCGCAACCCGTATCCAAAATATCAGTATATTCACCCAGAAAATCGCCTTGCGATTCCTGCACAGAAGTAGTACTATGTACAACGGTCGCGTCGTGGGTGCATTCCGCTGCCTACAGCTCGTCCTTGGCATCCGTCTCGGCGTCCATCTCAGCCACTGCCGGCTCGTCGTCGGCCATCAATGGCTCGTCCTCGGTCGTCGAGCTCTCGTCGTCCAAGAGCACGTGCTCGTCCTCGGCAGGCTCGTTGTCGTCGTCGTCGTCGTCCTTGATCTCTTCTTCGACGATCGCCGGCAGCTCCATCTCGGGCTCGAGCTCGAGCGTGTCGAGCTGCATGCTCGACTTCATGATGCGGTACACGCGCGACGAGAAGTGGTCGACGTCGTCCATCGCGAAGCCCGAGTTGGTCAACGCCGCGTCGTAGAGGAGCCACGCGAGGTCCTTGGTCTCGGTCGACTCGCCCGCCGTGTTGAAGAGGTCGCGGAGCTTGACGACGATCGGGTGGCGCGGGTTGAGCTCGAGGATCTTTTGCGCCATCGGGTTGGCCGCCGCGGGGTTGGCGAACGTCTGCGCCTTGATGATGCGCTCCATGTTGGCCGAGTGGCCCCACTGCGACGTGACCATGACCGCCGGCGTGTCGAGGCCGGCCTTGGAGATGGTGATTTTAGAGATCTTGGCGCCGTAGAGTTCCTTGAGGCCCGAGATGAGCGACTCGTACTGCTCCGTGTAGAGCTTGTGGCGGCGCGTGAGCGTCGCTTCGTCGTCGTCGCCAAACTTGAGGCCTTCCTTCGTGATCGACTGCATCTTCTTGCCATCAAAGTCGGGGATGTGCTGCATAACGTACTCGTCGAGCGGGTCAACGAGGTACAGGACCTCGACGCCCTTGGCCTTGCACGCTTGCAAAAACGGGCTCTTCTCGACAGCTTCGACCGACTCGCCCGCAATGTAATAGATCATATCCTGCCACGACGCCATGCGGCTCACGTACGCGGGGAGGCTGATGTACTTGTCCGGGTGCAGCGACGACTTGAAGCGGAGGAGCTTGAGCAGCTTGGGCTTGTTGGCGGCGTCGTCCATGATGCCGATCTTGATGTTCTTGCCAAAGTTCTCCCAAAACTGGAGGTACGTGGCGCTGTCGGTCGTCGCCGGCGCGTCGTCCGTGGTCTCGTCCGACGTCTTGGGCTCGTCGTCGTCGTCGTCGGACGTGTCGTTCTCGCTGAGCTTGCGGAGCATCTCGAGCACCTTGCGGATGAGCTTCTTGCGCATGACGCGGAGGATCTTGTTCTCTTGAAGCGTCTCGCGCGAGACGTTGATCGGGAGGTCGTCCGAGTCGACGACGCCGACGATAAAGTTGAGGTACTTGGGCAAAAACTCGTCAAACGAGTCGGAAATGAGCACCTTGCGCACATAGAGCTTGACGTCGGCGCGCTTGTGCTCGAAGCGCTGGTAGAGGTCGTGCGGGGCCTTGGACGGGATGTACATGATGCTCTTGAACTCGATCTCGCCCTCGGCGACAAAGTGGATCCACGTCAGCGGGTCGTTGGCGTCCTTGCCGATCGCCTTGAAGAAGTTCTGGTACTCCTTGTCCTCGACGTCCTCCTTGTTGCGCGTCCAGATGGCCTTGACCTCGTTCACGCGGTCCCACTCCCACACCGTTTTCTTCTCCGTCTTCTTTTCGGGCGACGCCGCCGGCTCCTCTTCCGCCTCGAGCTCGTCCGACTCGGTCTCAGTCTCAGTCTCAGTCTCGGTCTCGGCCGACGTGTCGTCTGTCTCGTCGACCTCCTCGTACTCGTCCTCGTCCTCGTCAACCTCGACCGTCTCTTCGTGGCTCGTGTGCACGTAGATGGGGAAGTTGATGAACTCGCTGTAGTGCGACACGAGCTGCTTGAGCTTGGCCTGGTCCTGGAACTCCATCGCGTCCTTCTTGAGGAAGAGCGTGATCTCAGTCCCGCGGCCGAGCGTGTTGCCGCGCGGGTCCTTGGTCACCGTGAAGCTCGCGTTCGCGTTCGACTCCCAAATGTACTGTTCGTCGTCGTTGTTCTTGGAGACGACGCGGACCTTGTCCGAGACAAGGTAGACCGAGTAAAAGCCGACGCCAAACTGGCCAATCATGGTCGCGTCCGCGCCGTTCTGCATCATCTGCACAAAATTGGCCGTCCCGCTCTTGGCCACGGTCCCGAGGTTCTTGATCAAGTCGTCCTTGGTCATGCCAATACCCGTGTCGCGGATCGTCAGCGTCTTGCCGTCCTTGTCGTACGAGATGCGGATCTCGAGCTCCTTCTTCTCGCCGAGGAGCGAGTTGTCCGAGAGCGCGAGGAAGCGCAGCTTGTCGAGGGCGTCCGACGCGTTCGAGATGAGCTCGCGCAGGAAGATCTCCTTGCTCTTGTACAGCGAGTTGATGATGATGTCCATGAGGCGGCTAACCTCGGCCTGGAACTGGAACTTGTCGCCATTGAGAAGCGCGCCGTCCAGCTGGTCGACGCCCAAGCTTGTCTCGACGAGGCCGTCTACCTTGGCCCCATGCACCTCGGAAGCTTGCATGCTCATGGCGCAGAGGACCGTGGCAAGCAACAGCAGCCCCTTCCAAATCGACCGCGCTCCCATGTTCGTGTTGCAAATCGGAAAATGACCTCCGAAATGCAAGGTCGATCTTCCGGATACGGACCGATGTCCGGAAAACAACGCTTCGAAAAACGAACGCGCGATGGTATTCCTAAGCGACATACAAATATCAAGTGTATAAGTATGCATTTGTATTGCCCAGCTAGCTCAAAATATCCGGATGCTGGTAAACCATTTGATATTTGTATGGCAATGCCTATGGCCGTATCCGGCAGGAAAGATACCGTGTCAATTTTCGAAGTGGAAATTTCTGGAAGCCGGGATCGACGGGCGCCGAGGCTCGACGCGCAGGGCATCAGCATGTAGCCTCGTGCTTGGCTCGCAGAGACGCTAGAGAAGGATCGGTGGATCGAGCCTACGAGAGCTGCTGTCGTTGGTTGGCGACGCCGGGCAGGCGGCGACGGTACGTCTTTGGTGCCAGATGAGATCTGACTTGTGAAATCTCAGTTTTAAACATGCGTTGCGCGCCGGTAGTGGCTGTCGCCATGAGCCTGGCGGTGGCCAACGCCTGGGTCAAATCGCGCTGGGACCATGCCAAGGCCTTTCAGAAGATCGGCCATGCAGAGCTCACGTGCGCGTCAACGACCCAGCCCGCCGGCTGCTGCTGTCCGTCGACGCGTCCATCCTCGCATGCGACTCATGCGACGTACTAGTGTGTTGGACGATTGTGCACGACATCGAATCGCAGCTCAACCAAACCGAGAACGACCACCACATGGAGGTCGTCTTTCGCATCAGCGAAGAGAAGAAGCAAATTCCGTACTCTCGCAGCGAGGTTGACAACATGCTTCTGATAGTCCCTCAAATGCTCGCTTGTTAGGGGCGCATCCTCGAAGTGCTCGACACGGTGTGCGACGACGTGCAAGTGCCGAGCACCGGCACGCCCCATCGGCGCTTGAAGTACGCCGTTGCCAACGCGGTAGAACTTCTCTTCTCGTGCATGCAGCCGACCACCTCGCCGTCTAGTGCCACCACTTTGTCGACGAATTCGCCGACGAGCTCACGACAGCGTTCTACAACAACCTCTCGCCCCAGCAAGACCCCGTCTGCGTGCACAAGCTGCGAGGTACGACGCGTGTCGATGACGGAATGGGCGTCACCAATCCGATAGCGTGCGCTTTGTTGCCCAAGGACGAGCTCTAGTCTCTACACTTATACAGCGTGTTTACGGCGCCTTTAACGAGACGAGCTTGATCGCGCCGAGTCGATCCTTGTTCTTTTCGAGCGCGCCCTTGTCACCGACGTACGCGAGCACGGGCTTGGCCGGGTGCCATGCGATCTGCTGTGGCGAGTCGGTCATGCCGATCGAGAAGGCGAGCTCGCCTGTGGGCACGTGCAGAATGGGGATGCACGGGTCTTCGCTGCCCGAGGCGAGGAACATGCCGTCGTGCGAGAACGAGACAGTGCGGATGAGCGACTGCGACCCAATGAACGTGTGCTCGCAGTAGACTTCCTCGAGGTCCCAAATGCTCACGAGCGAGTCAGCGCCGCCGAGGGCCAGTCGCCTACATCCATCATCATTGTACGAAATGGCAAGGGCGTCTAGTGTACCGGCCGGTCGGGTCGAGGTCCATCGCAAAGCAGCTGCCCGAGTGCGCAATGACCTTGGTCACGTTCTCTAGCGTCGGGGGTACGGCCTTGTCGTCCTGTGCGATCTTCATGACCTCAAAGGTCCCGTATCCCGACGGATGGCCTACACCAGATCTTCGCATCCGAGAGGCGCCACATAGCAATAGCGTACCAGCTGCGACGAAGAGGAAGCCCGACTTGGAGAACTGGAGCTCGTTCACGTCAAAGAGGTTGACGATGCGCCGCACCATCTTGTTCTTGCGCGTGTCGATGAGGCTACATGCATGATGCAATGAGTACAAGCGAGCGAAGAGGACGCTGTGCGTACTAGATGGTCGTATCGTTGTGGCCCGCAGCAATGTACTTGCCGTCCTGGCTGTATGCGAGGTTCATGATCTCGGACGAAAAAGGCAGGTTGGCTGTAGCCTTGGACGATTTCGTGTCCCAGATGCGCACGGTCTTGTCGCCGGACGTCGACGCCACGCGCGTGTTGCTCGTCGGGTCCCACGTCAGCTGGTTCACCGAGTCGCCGTGGCCAATGCAGTCGGTCACGAGCATGTTCGTCTCGGGGTCCCAGATGCGCAGCGACTTGTCCGTGCTGCCAGACGCGAGGAGGCTCCCGGCCGCGTTCCAGCCCAGCGCGTACGTGTAGTTGGAGTGACCCGAGAGCTCCGAGAGAGGCGCGACCGTGCCATACGTCTCGGGCCGGAACGACTGGAAGTTGACGCGCGGCTTGGGCGCCAGCGGTGGTAGCTCGCTCATGGGTTCGTGGTCGGGCGGCGTATTTTATTGCATTTTTAATTACACCAGGTGAATTGTAAGGGTGGCTCTTATTTTTAATACGAGGTGGCAGGGCCGGCGGTGATTGGCTCGCAGGCCGCGGTGACCAGATTGCGATCTTTTGCCGTCCGAATGCCAGCGTCGCTCTTGCTCTCAAAGAAGTTTTGGTTTACGGGCTGCAAGAGTATCGCCAGTGCATTTAGCTCAAGGCATCGGGTCTCGATCTCGGGGTGTCTGTGAGGATCAAAGACTGTATCGACACCCCAGCAGCCTTTGACACGGAGGTTTTGAAGGTTGGATCCAGCGCTGTGGACCGTTTGCATCGTCCAAGCACGAATGTCTCTCTCAATGAAGTACATCGTGCCTGCGTGATCTGCCCGCGTTCTTGAAGTGGACCCTCTACAAGCGAATACTATGTGTATTCCTCGTGCATTCCATTGAAGAAGCGTCGCCGTTGGCCGCATCGATGGATCTGAGTTTGCATCGCACATCATAGATCACATTGTCTACGATGCGCGACCATGAGCGACTAGAGTGTATGGGTGGAATATCGTCATCTGCTTATAGACTGGGTGAGCACCGAAGGTGTCCTGGAGCTGCGCGAGTCGCTGCGTAAACATAAGTTGCTCTGCATCAAGTTGGCATTGCTTCGTCATAAAGGTCCTTCGTGCGTTATGCGTCGAGAGGAAGGGTCGTGTTGACGTCGCACCTACAGTCAAGGCCATAAACTTACGTTCAAGGTTTATGGCCTTGCTGCAGTGAACGCACTGCATTCGCAAGCGCTGCACGGATCGATTGCGAATTCGAGCCAAGTTCGAATCATGCAACCCCACATCTGAAGGTTTGATGAAGCAAGCGCTGCCACGGATGGTCCTTCAGCGCGTTGCTGCGTCAACACCGAAGACGTGACTGCGATTGGCCAAAAAGGTGTTTCTTACTACTAATGATACAAATGCTTAGAGCGTCTTCTTCTTGTCCGCGATAGCGGCGGTCTTCTTGGCCGGCGCCTTGAAGAAGTAGCGCTCGAGGAAGAACTTGAGGAAGAGCGCAAAGTAGCTCGAGTACATGAGGATGCCCCACTTGAGGTTCTCGCGGTCGAGCTCGCACGTGACGCCGGCCTTGACGTAGTAGACACCGGACGCGCAGACGGCGACGCCGACGACCATTTGGAGGAGCTGGATGATCGTGACAAACTTGGCCCACGACGCGCGGATGCCAATGGCGGCGAGGAAGTAGTAAAAGTACATGACGCCGTGCACCGTGTAGTTCATCGCGACGAAGAAGAGACCGCTGGGCGAGAGGTTGGCGTACGCGTGCCAGCAGAACATCAAGACCGTGATGTGGTGGTACCAATGCAGGAAGATGAGCGGCTTCTTGCGGAGCACGATGAACATGGTGTCGACGAGCTCCGGGATCTTGGAGAAGATGAAGAGCGTGACCCAGAACGAAACCGGGCCGTGGCCGTAGTGGGGCATGGCTTCGGCGCACACGGCGTGGTGCCACCCGCGGACCGCGAGCGTGTTGAGGAGGAAGGGCACAGTGCGGATCGCGCCCATGATGGAGAAGGTCGCGAGGCCGAGGTTCCAAAGCGCGAGCGCCGTCTGGAGGCCGAACGCCGACCGCGACCGCATGACTTCGCGGCCGCCGAGGCAGAGCACGCAGTAGATGGCGCAGAGCACGACGACGTGGGGCATCGTGTCCTTGCAGAAGCCGTGCTCCCACGTGAAGAACCACTTGTTCTCCCACTCGAACGGGTAGAGGACGCTGAGCGCCGGGTACTCTTCGTGAAGCGCGGGCGTGCGGGGGAAGCTCATCGTGTTGTCAGGACGAGGCAAAATGCAAACTGAGACTTTGTCGCATTCTTGTAGCCGAGGTTGCATCAACAGCGTCACCCAAGATCGCTCTATGCCTCTTCGTGGCCAATCACAGCGCGGCGCATGCGCGTCGGCTGGATATGACATCACAAAGATCGGCGACAACCGCACTTTAGAGAACCCGCGGAGGGAACGGCAGCTTGAAACGACGCGCCAGGTGGCGTTCGATCGTACCTAAACGAGATCGCTTACGAAATCAGAGATAATTGCCATGTCGCACTTTAGGCGTGCCCCGAACTCGGACGACGGGACCGCATCCGGATGCGGCATGACGTCATCCCACTCAAGCTCTCGCCCAATCAGAGGCGCGCGCTATCGACGTCATGGGCAACCAAGTTGCCACGCCATGGTTTTGGTCCGGAGATTGTAATCAAACGAAAGGCTGGTGGTGGGGACGAGACGATGAAGCGAGAATGCGGCAGAGACTGTCGCTACCAGCTTCGCTACCGCTGTAGTACCTACGAGCGACGATCGTTGCTTCACTCCACCTCGATGCGGCGCTCAGTCTCTCTCCGTCACGCACGCATGGCGCAATGCAAGTCCGAGAGGCAGCCCGAAGATGTAGGTTGACGCTGACGACGTGGCGCCGCTACTTACTACGGTACTGGCACCGCAGAATTGCGCAGATCTAGAAGGTGTTGACAGAAAAGGCAAGCCATCGGTTTCCTGTCGTACGTCGACAATGGCGGGCCCATGCAGCTGCGAAGGACTTTGATCGCATATGCCATGTCCCTCGAAGAGTTTATAGAATGCTACATAGCAATGCCGCAGAGCCTATGCCAAGCGTGCACACGACGGCCACCCACAACCGGCCCAAACGTCGGACACATTTTATCCGGATAGTGAGATATCAGACTAAAGAAACGCAACTTTAAACGCTTAGATTTGCTTGACCGGCTTGGGCAGCAGCATGAGGATCGCGTAGGCCGCGACCAGCCCGGCATGGCCCGCGAAAAAGACTTGGCCCCAGCGCGCAATGGACGCGCTCCACGAGAGCGACACGAACGCGACGGCGAGGTAGTTGATGACGACCACGGTGCAGAGCCAGCTGAGCACGTCGTAAACGGCCTTGGACGCAGCGTGCGCGCAGAAGTATGGGCGGAGCTTGGCGCGCGCAAGGCGGTTGACGGCGGTCGGCAGCGGCACCGTGAGGAAGAAGAGGTAGTAGCCCGGGTAGAAGCCGTGCCAGAACGCCGACACAAAGTACGTGATAAGGAGCGAGTTGCCATGGCGGCTGTACACGTAGCGCTCGAGCCACGCCTGCGTGCCCTTGTTCCACGAACGGCTGAGGTCGCGGATGCTCTGGCCGAGCTCAAAGCCGAGAATGTCGACGTTCGAGACCGCGTTCCAGCCCACGACGCGGCCGTTGCCGTCAATGCCTTCGCAGCCAAAGCCGCACAGCACGGTCGCACCTTCCGCGATCTTCCACGCGCAGTAATACTTGCAGCGCGTGAGGAGCAGCGCCATGTAGATCGCAAACCCGCGGTAGAGCAGCGGCGCCGACGCATCGCCAAATGCGCTCTCGAGCGTGAACGTTGCGCCAAACTTGGCGATGCTCGCCATGCAGACGACGCCGATCGTGAGCTTGGCGGCTGCCGCGGCAAAACACGACGTGAGCGCCGAGGCCTTGTGCGCGAGCTTGAACGTTGCGCCCGAGACGGCGTCGGCATAGCTGCGGTACTCGAAGGCGGGGCCGGCGAGGAAGGTGGCAAAGCAGAACGCAAAGCCGTAGAACTCCACGAGCGACGGCAGCTCCGCGATCGCATACGTCTTGCGGACACGTGCGACCTTGTCCGGAAGGTCCAACGCCGGCGCGGCTGCGCCATCGAGCACGTTGTACGCGAACGACGTGAGCTTGATCACAAGGAGCATCTGCGGCCCGGTAAAGTCGAGGCTCCACCCGAGGTAGTCGACGTAGATGCGATAGAGGTGCGAGAGCGAGAGGTACGTCATGTTGAAGAGGAAGACGAGCATCGGGGCGCGGGCCGCGGGCGCATACTTGACGAGAAGATACGTGACCGTTGACGCTACGAACGAGTGGATCCACTGCGACCCAAGCACGAACTGCGCCATGAGGACGCCCGAGAAGAACGAGAACCAGTGCTTGGCGCGCGGCGGCAGCGTCCGGAAGGCGAGCGCGAGCGGGTACGCCGCAAACAAGCTCAGCGTGTAGCGCAGCTGGTCGGGCGCGAAGCCGAGGACCTTGGAGAGCGACGCGACGTGCGCGTGCAGCAGCTCAAACGAGAACGGACAGAGCGCCAGCGCATATGCATCCAGCTGAGCGGCCACCGCCTCCATCGGAATATGTGAAATGAGAACTGAGATTGTTGTATACGTAGTATGTGCGGTAGCTTCGGGGCGACTTGAGCTTGGGCGCGCCAACTGCTGGAACTCGGCGCTGCCACGCTGGCGCCAGCGGGTATCGACGCAATCCAAGCGCCGGTTATGACGCAGGCCGAAAAACACACGCAAAGTGCGCAAAAACGCACTTTAACGGATTTCCCGCAAGGCCATTGGCTCGCTCGATTGCGCTTGCACGTCATCGACGGTGACGTGGATCGGGGAGCCTCGGCAGCGCTCGATGGCCGGAGCCAGCACCAGCGGTAGCCACGGACTGTCTCGCGATCGTGCGAGCCTAACACCACGTGGCGACAACCTTTGGTGCGCTTCAGCGTTCGACAGCGTTCGTCCACCGTCGCAGCAACTGCACACGTGCAGCGACACGAAATGACTTGCGTCGCCCTGCGCGCTGAGCGCGTGCATGCTGACAACTTTTCGCATCAGCTTGCATTGGTAGCATCCACTGGGGAGCACATGCAGTGGGTTCGTCCCGTCCATCTTGCAGTCGTATTTCTATCTTGTTTCTCGCTGGCAGTCTTACTTCTGCGCCATCAGACGCTCGTTTCTAGCGCCTCCTTGCAACGCAGTGTCTAAAGCCTCGTCGCTGCTGCGTGTGCTCGTCGCGCATCATGCATCGAACGTTCCGTGCTGGGTCAAGGAGTCCGCGGATCGAGCGTTCGTGGCCACTGCTCGCAAGCCTTGAATCTTGCGTCGACAGTCCGGATAACGACCGGATACGGTGTTGATGCGAACAACTGGCCAATCACGAGCGGCGGATGATGGACGAAGGCAGGATGGCTGAGTGGCATTTGTCATTTTCCGCCACGCCAGCGACGATGGAGTTCGGGTCCGCCCTTCGCGTGCTCGATGGCTACATGGAGGCTATCGCGCCGACGCTCACGCAGCTCGACGGTGTCGCCCAGACGCTCACGCCGCTCAAGTTTGAGGCCGCCAACGCCTTCTTGAACGAGATCGCGGCCGGCGCCGGCATGGAGCTCGACCAGGTGCGCTACGCCGTGTGCCTCTTCGCCGTGTACCCGCTCGCGCTCCTCTTCCAGCTCCTCCCGACCGCGACGCTCAAGCACCTCTACTCGCTCGGCGTCGGCGTCTCGCTCGCGCAGTTTGTCTTTGGCTCGCAGTGGGTGCACTCGTTCTTGATGTCGTTCTTGACGTACCTCCTCGTGTGGCTCGCGCCCGCCAAGTTTGCACCGTCGATCGTCTTCCTCTTCAACATGACGTACATGTCGCTCGCGCACCTCTACCGCATCTACGTCGACTACATGGGCTGGAGCCTCGACTTTACCGGCCCGCAGATGCTCCTCGTGATCAAGCTCACGGCGTTCGCGTACAACTACTACGACGGCGTCGTCGACATCAAGCGCCTCAACTCGCCCACGGACAACAAGGGCCTCGCGCGCGTGTACGCCAGCCGCAAGGCGCTCAGCGTGAGCAAGATGCCGTCGCTGCTCGAGTTCTTTGCCTACGTCTACTGCTTCACGACGTTCCTCGCCGGCCCGGCCTTTGAGCTCCGCGAGTACCTCGATGTTGTCAACGGCGCCAAGCGCCTCGGGCCCGGCCGCTTCCTCGCGACCATCTCCAAGTTTGTCGTCGGCGTCACCTTTATGGGCCTCATGGTGGCCTTTGGCGGCGCTTACCCGATCACGATGCTCTACAGCGACGAGGTTGCTGCCTTGCCGCACTTCGAGCGCATTTTGCAGCTGTACATTTGCCTCTTCTTCGTCAAGGCCAAGTACTACGGCGCTTGGAAGATCTCGGAGGGCGCGACTGTGCTCTGCGGCTTTGGTTTCGAGGGCTTTGCTGCCGACGGCGCGTCCAAGGGCTGGAACGGCGTGAGCAACATGGACGTCCTCGGCTTTGAGTTGGCCCCGTCGATCCGCGAAGGCTCGCGCGCGTGGAACAAGGGCACGCAGGCGTGGCTCGAGCGCTACGTGTACAGCCGCACGGGCAACTCGCTCATGGCCACGTACTTTGTGTCGGCGTTTTGGCACGGCTTCTACCCCGGGTACTACATCTTTTTCATGAGCATCCCGCTGCCGACGGCCGTCAACCGCGTCGCGTTCAAGCGCATCCGGCCCTACTTCCTCGAGGCCGACGGCTCGTTCGGAGCCAAGAAGCGCGTGTACGACGTCATTGGCACGATCTGCACGATCTTCACGCTGCACTACCTCGTCATCCCGTTCCAGGCGCTCTCGTGGGAGCACTCGCTCGCGGCGCTCACGCACATGAAGTTCTCGGGCCACATCATCATGGCCGTGCTCTACGTCGTCTTCTCGCTTGTGCCCATGCGCAAGCTCAAGACCAAGCAGCAGTAAGAATGCACTAGATAACCACAGAATGGTCCTAGATACGTTTGCAATTCGTGTTCATCCGACTGAAACAAGATTGATGCAGCCCATCGCAACCGAGGTAGATGGTGTGACAGTCCATGTCGGCGACGTCCGTTCATGTAGTGTGCCGTTGTCGGCGACAGCAAGATGCGGCCTCGTAGTCCGATGTATAAAGCCGGATGCCACTGCAACCTTCAGGCCCTGGGCTTAAAGAACGAAACACGTACAAGGAAGAACGCTGGCAACGACTCGGCTCTCAATAAGAAGTGATTGGGACACAGTATTCTTCCGAATACGTACAGAGCTCGGATCGGCGGCGGACGTGTAGACCGTGGAACCACCAACACATGTGTTTCAGAGTCACACGCGGTGAGGACACGATGTCTACTGCCGCTTTCAAATCATTTTGAAACGGTCTTGGGCCATAGAAGTGCACGATGCCCCACATAGCATGCACCTCAATAGTCCTTGAACGAGGCGTTTCTGGGGCCAACCATGTATCCCGAGTGATGACACCTTTAGAGCGCTCGCTCTGGTTGTATTCGAGGGCTACCTTGGAACTTGGTGCGTTCGACACGCCAACGCTACCACTGTAGACACTCGTACTCGGCCATGTCCACGGGAGGAGTCACACGCTTCAGTGTCCATCAAGCTGTCCATCACCCGCGAGCATCCCACGGCTTGACATCTCTGCGCTGCCCTTCTCAGCCACGTGGCCTTCGTACGGTAGAGTCGGCCAGCGCATGAAGGCCAACACGATGGCTCGAGATACAAACACTAAGCATAGCACCTTATAGGCACCATATCGACCACAGAAGCATTCTCAGTGCTACAGTTGGACTCCAACGGGCGCGATCAACCACGGTTAGGAACCCACGATCGAGTAGAAACGTTGAGGGTATGCCTCTCGGAAAGGGTGCGTTGGACACTCGGCAGTGCCGTGTCCAATGCAGCTCTCGATCGGTCGCCGGTGGCCATTTCGAAATAATAAGCATGGACGCAGAGAGCACGGGAAACGACCGGACGCAGCGAGCCCGAGCGAACGCACGCGCCTACTACCAGCGGCACCGCCACGTCATCTTGGCCAAATTGCGCGCGCGGTACGAAGACGACCCGGACAAGGAGCGCAACCGGCAGCACGAGCGGTACCATCGCCGAAAAGCTGAAAAGGCTGCCCAGCGACAAGCCTCGGCAACAAGCCCACCACAGGCTGGCAGCGTTAGCCCGCACAGCATCCACTTTATTCTAAATTAACGCCATAATGACGCAACGAGCAAACTATAAAAATATATTCGCGAGACGCTTCGAGGTGCGCGGAAAATGATCCTGACACGCAGCCCAAAGCCAGCCAATATCGATCGCCACGCGCGTGACCTGAGATGACTCCCGTAGTGCAATACAGACTTTAGAGCAACATTCACAAAAGGTTAAAAGCAGGGATATAATCAAGAAAGCTTTCCGTAGCAAGTAATTCGCGCCACCGGATCTCCCCAGGGATGGATAGGACGTCTGGGAACCGCTTGGTTGCCATTCGACTTGATGCGGTCCAACACGGGCTCCGCCACGATGACTGTGCGGGAAAAGTGGTAAGTACTTAACAAGTCAAAGCGAGCACGGAAGATCAAGTAAGTGGCCCACTCAGTGTGTATGAAAAGGAACTCGCCAAGGTGATGGGTGGATGACGCCGTGAAGAGCACGCAGTGCGTCTACACTGGTTGCAAGGTGCGATCCAACGTGCCATTCTGTTCAACAAAAGAAAGAGGATCGATCGTAGTGTCAGCGAGTAGGCATCATATCAGGACACCGGTGCAACTGGGTCGGCGGCACTGCGTTTGGAACATAATCACCCATAGTCGATACATTGATATATATGGCACTGGAGTCAGACCTCGAGGTGCCATCGTCGCAGTCGTACAACGTGGGCAATGGTAGACAACAGATGCCCTGAAAGCGTTCAAGAGCAAGGAACCGCACCGTAGTCTGCGTCTACTTCACTACATGTGCACTGGTAGTGACGATGAGCCCATCCACTGTCAAGAACGCGATCCCCAACAACATTCTTGTAATTTGAGCATGGCGACGATATCGTTGTCGCAACGAATGACACTTCACCACAAATGTTGCCGACCTGGACCACCGTTGGGTCAATGTTGCGTAGTACGCTCGCTAACGTTGGTACGAGGGAATGCAGCCGATGAGACCACGTTTGCTTCGTACGACAGTACACCGAGCAGAGCGATTGCGGCAAAACCAAGACGCAAACTATTGAAGCAGTGAAGAAACAGGTGACCGACGTCTTGAGTCGATAAAGCCTTTCTATCAACATTTGATCATCGCAAGAGCAAACGTGTACATCACCCGCCTCGTTGAGCGATCCCTGCAAGCGTCTTCGCGACAATCTGGCAACATCTTCGTGGCGCCAAGGGCCCGTAATCGGCCTCGTGCGATGCCATTGGTCAAAATGTCACCCAGCTGGCGGTTTGATTGTCCCATGTTTCCATCCAATGTCCAACTAAATCCCATGCGAAGTTTTACACGTCTCTAGATTCGGCACAAATGGAGATTCAATTCGGCACCATGTCCAATAAAAATGGGAAAAAGGAGGTAAATCCCAGATCGCGCGTTTGACAGGCAACGCAAGCGTCTGTCTTTCAAATCCCAGCACTTTGCCATTTGACGCCGATGGTCGTTGACGCCAAGGCTGGCCTGCACCGCGCTCGGTCGCGCTTCGTGCGCCTCATCCTCAACAAGGACGGCAACATGGACGCGCTCGAGGAGCGTCGCGAAGAGCTCGTCGTGCTCGAGCGCTCCAAGCAGGCGTGGACCAACTACCGCCGCTTCTGCCAGTTCCGCTTTGGCTACCTCGCCTTCCTCGTCCTCATCTCGATTGTCATCTTCTCGTTCGCGCTCCTCATGGAGCTCTTCTTCGCGGTCTTTCTTCCCGCCGCGCGCGAAGACCCCAACTACTACCTCCGGTCCTTCCTCATGCTCCTCGCGCTGCCCGTGACTCTTCTCTTCCTCTCGTACATGTTTGAGGAGGCGCTGCGCCTCTTCTCCGATGCGCTCAGCGGCACGGAAGGCAGCCTCGCCAACTTCCGCCTCTCGCTCGCCGTGCTCATCCACGCCGCACGCCACAAGGCTGCCATGACGCGCGAGCACATGGACCTCTCGAACGTGGACCCGTACTTTGGCGACAACGCGGCGCTCGAGATCCAGCCGCGCGCCATGCCGGGCGACGCCGAGAACCCGGTCGCCGGTCGAGACATTGACTACTCGACGTTTGTCCTTGTCGATCTGATTTGCCCGATTTTGTTTGAGGTCGTGACGCTGATTGCGTTTCTGATTTCGCTGGTTGCGACCTTTTCGCTTTCGGAGGCGTTCACGACGTACCTTCGAGCCGGCTTTTACGTGGTCGTCTTTTACCTCTGTGTCTGGGTCGTCGGCCATTTCTGGACCACGCGCAGCAAGCGCATGCGGTACCTCGTGCTCACGTACCGCGTGCACCGCGAGCGCATGAAGGCCGAGGTCCGCGGTCTGCACAAGGACAAGTGGGCCAACCATTTCTGGCTCCTCGACATTGGCTTCCGCGCGCTCTACTGTCTCGGCTGGACCAAGCCCGAAGACGTCTCGGCCGCGCCAAGAGAGCCTGGGCGACTCACGCGCGCGGTCCACGCCGTCAACGAGAAGAACCCGTACCGGAAGCTGCATCCGAACCTCAAGATTTTGTTGATGCTGCCGTGCATCTTTGCGGGCGCGTTCGTGTCCTTTTACGTCTTCCAGCTCGGCTGGCCCATCATGGGCTGCAGCCTCCTCCTCCTCGCGTCGGCACTCCGGACGCGGTTCCCGCAGATCTTTGGCACGTCCTTCTTTTACTTTATCTTGGCGTTCGTGCTCCTGGCCTTCATGTTCATCTCGTCGGCCTCTGCGATTGGCACGTTTGTCAAGGGCGGCTCGTTCGACGTGCGCCCGCCCGTCGATCCGCTGCACCCGAACGTCTCGATCGCGCTCCCCGGGCAGTTCAACATTCCCGTGTACCCGATTTGCCACTTTTCGCACCAGACGCTCGACGTGATCGACTTTGTCTTGATGGCCGACGCCGCGTACGGCTCGACCAACGAGATCCAAGACGCGATGCTCGGGAAGCGCTTCAACGGCACGGCGCTCAACAACTGGAGCGTACCAGATCGAAGCAACCTCCAGACCGACCACCAGCAGTGGCTCCAGATCGACTTTGCCGACTTGAACGTGACCGTCGTCGCGATCCGAGGTATTTCTTTGAATTTTACGAATTTCACAAATTTGATGCAGGCACGGCGTCGGCGGCCGATGCGCTCCAGGACATGCACTACTGGTTTGGCATCACGATCATGCAAACGGCTAACATCTTTATCCCGTTCCTGAGCCAACTGCCCCAGGACTTTGTCGTCAACCTTCTCTCGCTACGTTTCCTCAACAAGATCATCCCGACACCGGTACAACCATCTGCTTTGACACCTTCTTCTATATTGTTGCTATCGTAGGTCTACCAAAAGCTGCTGGACAAGGTCGAGACGCTCAAGAAAACAAAGTCCAACATCGTTGTGACAGGCCATTCGCTCGGTGGCGCCATGGCCGCCGTCGTTGGCGCCAAAATGCACTTGCCCGCGGTGCGTGGTTGTCGTCTTGATACACTGAAACCAACGTACGCTAGGTCTCATTTTCGGGCCCGGGTCTCTTGTATTCACGCGGTCGGTTCGACATTGACGACGAGCGCCCGATTCGCGACTACGTGCTCACGGTCAAGCCCCGAGGCGACTTTGTGCCGCGCGTGGACCGCCTTGGCGGCCTCGTTCAAGACATCGACTGCCGCCGCAACAACCCGAAAGCATGCCACAGCACCGACACGCACGCGGTACGACCGACCTTTGCGGCCACGCTCAGTCTTGTTTTAGTGCGAGTTTTACCTCACGTGCGGCGACAAGCGCGGCCGCGACTGGTCCCGTGTCTGCGAAGAGTACCGGAACCTTGCCAAGAAGATCGATTCCATCACAACGCAGAGCAACAACTAGCTACATAGTGTCGCGTTGGAAATGGACACGTGTATATTCTTTGCGTCCATTCTTTGCTTGAGTCGCCTGAAATCATCGCATCGCTACGGACAACGAGACCCAACACGTCACCGCCGTCAAACTGGTGTCATGGGATGTACTACCCTAAACCTGGTCGTAGTATTGTCGACCCCCGCGGAAGTATGTCAAGACCAGCGCACTCTTTTACACATATTCAGATGTTTAGAGCATCAAACGGCAGCGGTGGCTTCGATAGGCACGCGATCCAAGTGCGTCAACGATGTGAGAGTCGATATCGTCTGGGAGGGCCTCGACGACAAACGGAACTCGGTGAACTGAACTACACTATAAAGCTAGAGCCCACAAGACCTGTCACCGACGGGCACGGGTTCGCAACGATATGGCGCACGTCTGTCTTCAAGTCGAGGTCGCGGACGTGGCGGCCCGCTGGCGGCGCCATCCCGGTGCAGCGCATGGTGGCGTATATCTCCTAAGGCGTGCATATGTTGTCGCTGGCGTCTCCATGAGCTGTGTTGCTGTCTCGGCCGTTGAGATCGTGGTCACGTTGCTAAGGACCAGTTTCGTCAGCACCGGCACTGACGTCAAGCTGGCCAGGAACAACTGCTCGTCAGGAACCTCCCAGAGGTGAAGGCAGCCGAGTTGCGCGAGCATCGGTGCCGCAGCTGGACTGGTCGTCAGTTAGCCGAAGATGCTGCAGTTGAGGGACTTAAGCTGGGTGTGGCTGACGGCCGTTGTGAGGTCGTGTAGCCTTGCGTCGTTGATGGGACCGTTCAAGTGCGGGTTCCATGCCAAGGTCTGGAGGGTCGACAGGAGTCGCCGACGGTGAAAGCCACCGAGGTTACCGACGCTCGAGACGCCGAGCTCGTTCAGCGTCGTCGTGGATTGCAGCGCATCGCAGAACGCACTGCGGCTTTAGGCGTCGACGACCTGCGAGCCAACATGGTTGGCAAGGCCCGTGTCTCGATGGGCTCGCCAAGAAAGGCGAGATGAAAGACTTTTGCATATCAACAGCAATGGCGAGTACGTCACGACTGCACCATCCGGATGCGACGAGCTTGCGCAAAAGCCGTGGCCCGGGCGCGCATGAAACCTTGAACTCGGCCTGGCTGTGAAGGATCGAGCGACCTTAACGTCCACGCAAACAAGAGCACAGCAACGCCGTTCGCACCCAGCGGGTTGTTTTGCAGGCGACAGGTCGCCAACCGCGGATGATGTGCGAGGAGGCAGCCCAGCGCCTTGGCGCCGCTGCGCTTGGTCTTGTTGCGGCTGAGGTCCAGCGTGCGTAAACAGGGTTTGCATGAGCGCAGTCGAGAGCGCCGATGCGCCGACGTCACCAAAGCCTTGTTTGACGAGCATGAGCGTCTCGAGGTGCGCGGCGTGTCGGAGGAACAGCGCGAGGGCAAGGACATCAACGTCGTGCAGCTTGTTGGACGTGAGACCGAGGTGCGAGCAGCGCGGTAAGAGCAGTGCGAGCGTGAGGCAGTGGGTCGTCGAGAGATGGATTTTGGTCAAGCGCAATGTTGTGAGCCGCGTCAGACGTGAAAGGTCGTCATCGAGAAAGCTCTGCACATCAGGACCGTCCGTGTCTTGACTCACGTCCGAACTACGCGCGTGTAGCAACACGAGCGCGCTGTTGACGAGCCTTTCGACCACATAGCTCGTTTGAGAACGTGGAAGGAGCTCGACGTCGAGGTGTGTCAGGTGACCCCACAAGGTCGACCCGCCGTCCTCTCCAAGCCGTGTTTCAAGTGAGGCGACGCGCGTTCGCTCTGCCCAGAGTTGTCGAGCGGATGAGACCTCCTCCACGTTCTTCATCGTCAGCGACATGAGCGGTGTCGCTTGGATCCATGCGGTGAGCGCCGCAGCCGCCTCGTCCGGAAAGCGCACCTTGAACACACCGCGCAACGCAAGCTTGTTCACGCGACGTATCGAGACGAGAAGGTCGGCCAGCGCCGTGAGAAATGAGCTTTGCACGGCGTATTGGCCGTCCGTAGGCGGTATTGGCCGTGCCGAGATACGTACGTCGATGAAGCGATGCCGCATTGGCGAGGAACAATTGCCGGACGGTCGCTAGCACCCGCGCGTTCATGATCCATATTGTCATCGTTATCGTGAGAGAGATATGGTCCAACGTCGGCCATGCGCGCGGCAACATGGCGACCTCCGGCACAACGGGCTGCGACATGACCGATTCGATGCAAATCAATTCGTTGAAAAATCACCCAGTGCCCAACAATGCCGCAAATCAGCACGTTCCATCTCTCTCCATCACTAGCGACTTGTAGTGGGCCGTTGAAAATAATCCCAGCATTCTCCAACATTTTCTACATTTTGGCCATGCACCGCCACGGCCGGCGTCATGGAAAATGGCATATGAGCAGAGAAAATATTATATTCTCCTTGTCGTTGCGCTCGTTCCATTGAGTAACGGCAAGGCCGTCGTTGCGAACGTTGGCATGGCGATGGATTTGAGTGCAGCGCGCGACCAACCGCATGCAAGCTTCGCGCCGAGACACGAGTCGCGCGTCGACGCCCGAGATGTACGTAGAGTGTGGCGGCAGTGACGAGCGCGCGAGCACCACACCCGCCGTAGGTCGAACGCGGCCCTAGCGCTGGTCGTTCTGGACGCGCAAGCGCATGATGCCGTGGCGCTCACGATGCTAGATAACGTGGCGTCGCTCCCAGCGTCGTCGCAGGTCTGGGGAACTTGTCCAAGCGCATCTCACGGAGGCGGTCGCGTGGCCGACGCGCGAGAGGCCGTCGAAAAATTTGGCCAGGGCTCCGCCCTAGGACCGCATCGGTGGCTCGTCACGGATGCTGAAGCTGCGCCACGCCTACATCAACGTTGCATGAGCCTGCGGACTGAGGCCTGTGCTCGGCTTGCCACATACGTGCTGGCGGTCCTGCGCGACGATGGCCCACAAAAACTTAAAATGGGGCAAGAACACTGGTGATTGGCTAGGATATAGTGTGTATTTGGTTACACTGAAATACTGTATTACGGACAGGCCTCCTTACGCTGCTCATTACGGGGCATATCGCAGGCGCGATGCCTTCCTCGGCCACATGCAACACGCTCTCCAGCGTGAACAAAACAAGATGGCGTCCTCAGTTTCCGCGATTCCAACCTATTTTCAATCGAAATATCGTGCCGCATTTTGGGAAAACCGACGCTCGGCAGTTTGAGTTTGGTGTGAGCGCCCAAGCAACGGCGCGGCCCAACAAACTGGTCGCACATCGGGTCAAGATCCATAGCCAACTGTGGCAGCCAGAATTGGGGTCGTTGGGGCTTTCAAACCCCGCGATTTCATGTAGAGTACTTGAGCAATTGTGCCACCACCTCAAAAAATGAAAAATGGTTTTACGTGTGATGACGCCACGTTCAGCGTCGGAAACGACATGTACACCGTTCAGTGAGTGTGTAGAGAGGCCTA